ACACTTCAATGTAAAAATCATTTTCCTAAAGTGCAAAAGTGTTGACTTTTTATAATAAAAATTAACTTGCAGATTTATTTCTTTACTAAGTGAAGCATTATCTTTCTAGTAGAAATTATCTCAGTCCCTTATAAAAAAACACTTAAAAAAAGGGAAATATATGTTTTTAAACATCTGAAAACAATTAATCGATGTTCAAAGTGTTAAGATAATAGAATAAACTTTGAAGAAATAACATTATTGAATGATGTGCGTTAAAAAATATCTATAAAACTTCTCTTGTAACATTTACTATGTTAACAGCTTGAAATAAAGAAAGTTAATACCTTGAAAAATAATAAATAACTTTAATGTAAACAGCGTTTTTTATCTTTTATAAACATGAAAACAAAAATAGACCAATGAAAGAATTTCTAATACTTGAGCTATTATATATATTTCAAAAAATATATATTATATATTATATGTTTTATATATATATATATAAATGAAATAATCAATACAAAATTGCAAAACTGAAAAATGTTGCCATCTTGGAATTTATGAGTGTAACGAAATGAGAGCATAGCTCCCAACTTCATGGGACCATCCATAAATGATATCCCACTTTCTCTCAATGTTATTGACTCCTATTTCTCTTTTGTCACCCTTATCACAAGTCACCGCTAAAATGCTTAAACTTATATGCCACACACGTTTAATGCAGAGTGCAGAATATTTCCTGAAAATAGGGAAATATTCTTTCTAGTGGTAGCAAAGGTTACATATTAATATTTAATAAACAAAGTTCAGTTCGCAACCATTGCAAATTATATTTTGCTCAAACCTCAAATTCCGAAAATTATGCACATATTTTAGATCGCATTTTAAATTACATTTTTAAACTTAATCTAAGTGTTTTAGTGAAATTTATTAGCGTGGTTTTAATAATAATTGGTAAAATGTATATTTTGATGTAAAAAAATATTTAGTTTGTTGATTTTAAATATTTTAAATAAAACTTAAGCGTGCAATGTCATACATCTTGTTAACCCGTTTCTCCCCTTTTGCCACAAACTGTCACTATTTCTAGAAAAAACCTGCCTTCCTAGCAAGGTATAATGTGTGAACGGCTCCTAACCATGTCAGTTTGAAATCCAAACAAAATCTTTCATCGAAATTTTTTTTTAACCTTATCATAATAGAATGTGGGTCAGAACTTACCTTCGCATTGGTCATTTGTATCAAATCTCTGACTTTTTCGACATCGGCATTGATAACCATATTCAGAATCGAAATCTTCGAAACAAAGTGCATTCTTTCCAGCGCAATCGTTATTACCTCCTGCTTCAGAACACATCAGTTTCCCTAATGGTTTAAATGAATTACATGAAATTAATTCTTTTAAGACATTTCCTGTTTTAGCTTTCATTTCTGTTTCATAAAGTGTTTTAATCAGGAAAATATAGCACGTAAATTATTCACAGCGACATTAGTATTATTTAAATTACTTCTTGCATAATACGTTATACTAATATGCAAATGTTACATGAATATTTAGGGGTAATCAACTACATAAAAACCTATTTGGGGTCGAAAAGAAGCATTCTTGATGTAGATTGCATTTACTAAAATATTTCTTGATTATAAAAACCAATTACATTTGAAGGTTTTTTGCAGTTAAAAAAGAGTCGCAAACTCTAAGAGTTTACAAGCCAAAATACACAATTTATATAATTACCACGTGACACCTAGAGGACAAATTAAATAGATTGGTTACTAAACATTACTGGGTAAGAGTTTTAGTAACTAAACTGGCAAATAATTTATGTTGCCGGTGGGGGGACTTTGAGAGCAAGTGTTGATGATTATACAAAGTGATATTTTTCTAAAAATAAAATCCTGTCAAATATGAAAATTAAAATTACATTTTGCGCCTCTTAACGCTAATTATTTTTTCGAAGAAAAATGTCCCTTTTTCTTCTTTTTAAGAAATAAAATTCCTACTGAACTTTAATTTCGGCAAAATAACTTAATTTTACAATTCAATGAAACGTATTTTTATAACATTACTAGCCGACTTTGGTGACAAGCTTAGAGATCTTTCAAATTTATCTTGTGCTACTAACTATAATCATAATCAAGCCAAATGCACAGCACAACTCTTTTTTTCTAACTATTTTACTTCTTCAACCCCTTTTCCAGTCCTTACCCCATAATTAGTTTTAAACAGAATATTAACCAAATTTTTTCACCGACTCGCTGTTGCCCATATGGAGGTACTTTGATTTCAATTTTAACTATTTTCAAGAGATGTCTGCGATATTGTCAATGTTCTTTATTAATTTTAGTTATAATTTAAAATCTGTATGGCAGTCATTAAATCATGCAAAGCCCGTAAGTATGAGTTCCAAGCGTCTCAGCACAATAAGCAACACAAGCATTGAAATTATTTCCATCTCTGGCATGAGATAAGATAGTAAACTTATCCCAAATCTCCCCTACATGCTGCGATACTTCCACAACACCCCTCTTGACCCATAGCTAGTGAATCGTTTCGTTATAATCCATCTTTCTATATATAATATAATATTATATATATACACTGCTGGACAATTGCTAAGGACGGATCACAAATTGCAATGTAGCATAACATTAAGCGAGACATGAGGCCTAGTAGGATAAAACATAGTTGCCACACTGTTCAGACATTAGAATAAAGAATATTCATTGTTCTAGAAAGTACAAAGGCTATGAAACATCTGAAAGAAAAAAATGTTCATTTAATGCTGCGTACGGAAAAATGGAACAATGCATCTAAATGTCAGCAGGTAACTTGAAGAAAGGTGTCAGTACGGGATATGTCTACCGTGGAGTGAGATGCAACATTCTACACGTCGTATCATACCTTGCACAACATTATCCAGCAGCTGTAGAGGCAATTTATCCCATTCCTCCGTCAGTGCACGGATGAGGGTGTTCTTGTTAGTCGGAGGATAGTTTCGACCAGCAAGTTGCCTCCCCAAAGCATCCCAAACATTTTCAATGGGGTTTAGATCTGGAGAACGTGATGGCCTTACGAGGCGTTGAATACCCCCGCTGTCTAGACAATCCTGAACAGCGAGTGTTCGATGACATGTTGCGTTGTCGTCCATAAAAACAAATTTATCACCGACAGCACCATGGAAAAGACGAACATGAGGAAGTAGAACTTCATCAATGTATCGTTGGCCCGTCATAGTTCCATTCGTAGCCACGTGTAGGCGCGTGCGGCCATTGATCATGATGTCGGCCTACACCATGACACTGCATGTCGGATATCGGTCCCTTTCCTGGATGTTTTCTGGACTATAACCAGTACCACTCTCGCGCCAGATCAGTTCGAGTCTACAATCCGATGACAGACTGAACCAACTCTCATCTGAGAATCGTACGCATGCCCAGTCCTGTTCAGTCCAATTGTGATGCTCACGACACCATTGCAAACGGGCAGTAAGGTGCTGTCTGGTCAATGGGACACACACAACAGGTCTGCGGGCGTATAGTCCTCCTCCCCTCAAACGTCTGGCAACAGTTTTTCGGAAGATCTGCTTTCCTGTGGCAGCAAGAAACTGATTTGCCACCTGCTGAGCTGGTGCGCCTGTTCCTTTTTGCTGATAGGACGATGTATCTGTCTTCTGCAGGCGTCATACTTCTAACACGATCTACCCCGTGCCGCCTACTATTTATTCCAGTAGTTTTAAATGATTTCCACGCCCGTGAAACAACGCTGCGAGCGATGTCGAACTCCCTGGCAACATCTGTTATTTTTCGCCCTTCTTAGATCTTTCCAATAATTCGGCCACGCTTAAAATCATCTAAGCGATATCAGGAAGACATGCCGAAAATTTCAAGTACGTCAACTAAATCTTTCCTGTAAAACTTTGACCTGTAACAACAACTCTCCACACGCGTCAGAACCTTTAAAGCTCTTATCAGCGCTATCACGTGATGGCCTTACGGGATATATATATATATCCCGTAAAGCTTGACCGGTTTGGCTCAAATTTTGTATTTTGCCATAAAAAATTACATGCCTTAAAATGATGCAAAAAATGGTATACCTTAAAATTCAAAATTTATTTGACCATTCTTAACACGGTGAATGCCATGGGATGAGCGGCACTGAGTTTGTTCGTAGTACCACGGGGGTCACCAGTGACCGGCAAAGCCAAGATCATTAGAAACACATAATTCGAGTAAATGTTTAATTTTTTTATATTATTATCGTTATTAAAATGGTTTGAAGAATTTAATGCAATGCAGAACACACAAAAATAGATTCATTTATTTACACAGAGTTGCCAACTTGCTCCGGACAGCGAATAAATATTTTCAAAAGGTAGTTTATTAATTGCGATTCTTGGTTTAATAAATTCAATTTAGTAGATTTTTATCCACCACTATTTCTAAACAATTTGTAGGCTTATACAGTTCACCAATTTTATCAGAAATGTCGTGCTAAACCCTTTAAAAAGTAGCAAAATCTGTCTTAAATTTACATGTTTACTTTGTAGTTATTTACCGTTTCGCCAGACGGGTAAGCCATGTAAAATTAGCTTGGCATTTAACATGTTAAAGGGGTTCAAACTTTGGAGCGCTTTCCTGACCAAACTGTTCGGACTATATTTCAAAGATTGCGGCTACACCCTATATTTATGGGGTCAGAAAGCCGAAAGGTATACAGAGATAACAAACATACTCCACCCAATCCTAAAATTATTCCTTATGGTATCAAAATTTATTAATTATTATTTCAGTTTAAGATATTTGTTTAAATAAATTGGATCCAAAGTTGCTTTTCTGTGGCTCTACTGATAAATAATTCTAATTTACGTATAAAATTCTACTTCCATTATGCAACGTGATGAGGCTATTAAAGTGCTTACACAAAAAACTTTGTGTATAAATGTGTTTTTTTTAAAAATAAAGTAGGGCAGCTAGCATCCTTGTGTACAAATTTAACGATTTATCTAATGCATGCCTGCCAATTACTATGTTTTTGCAAAATTTTTTATAGAGTGGTAGACATCTAAAAGATAAAGCTATCAGACCCATAGCTTGTGTATCGTATCCGTACAGTCCATCCATCCATCGACGTATATACATCTATATATCAATACATCTATCTATATACTTATCTATACATCATCTGCCTATATCTATGCACTTTTCGTCACTTAAAATATCATCTGCACCAATTAATTAGTTTATTTGAGGTCGCAAACCTCAAACCATTAAACCATCCTAGAATGTGAAGATCCAACCATTAGATCAAAAATTATTGAGGGTAATCTGTTTTTTATTTCGTGCTCTGTACATCGAAAAAGATCAGTTTTAGCATTATTGATATGTGCCTTACCGATTCCTCTTCAGTTACTCTCAAAGAATCACGATGTCTACTTACATTGGTTTCCATCTCATGTGACCGTACATGGTAATGCAGTTGAGGCCAGAAAGGGTTGTGAGTGAGTCATGACTACCAGATTCTCGCTCACTTTTCAAGAAACGCATATCTATGTAAAATTATGCTTAATTCATTGTGGTATGTGTGTCATTAGGTTTGAAAAATATGCTGAAAATTTTAAAAAAAAATGTTTTGATATGCATATTTTTGCATCTGTTTAACTGACACTAGAAAACATCTTTCGCGTGAATTTGGAATTATGGAGGGTATGTAAAGCTCAAAATTTTACGGTAACAATTCGAATTCGCAAAATTTGGAGTGAGTCAGGTGTTAAATTGACTAATGTTCAGTTATCTGTTGTTAGATAAGAAGGTTGTTACCTGTTTTGCACACATTCTTATATTTTGGATATATTTTCTAAATCCATACTTATATTCAATTCTTTCCTATAAATAGTTATATAAAGTTTCTCTATAAAGTTCTAACGTTCTATAAAGTTTTTCCTATAAATTACTCTTTGCAAAATTATTGACCTACGTTATTTAATTTCAATATATGATAGATAATATTTACACATTTAAATAATTTAAATTTCGAATTTGAAGTACAGCTATGAAAATTTAATTTAAAATAAAAATGTGTCACAGTTTTTTTTAAACCTAATATTTATCTCCATCTTACTTCGACATGTTATTCCATCATTGTGGTAAGCATACTTCCCATGACACTTGCATTTGAATCCCAGTTTAGCATCCACTATACATTGATCATCGGGACATAAACCAAGAGGCAAAGCTTCCGCTGTACATCGATCTATAAAAGAATATTGAAAATTGTTTTTCATAATTATAGACTAATTTTTTTTCAAATAAATTATAGTGTGACGGAAATGAATGGTAATTTTTTTTAATCTAATTTTAACCTTACCAACACACGTAAGTCCTTTTGCAGCATACGCAGGGGGGCAAAGGCAACTCTCAGATTCATTCACTTTTATACAGGCTCCTGCACCGCAATCCTTTTCGCATTTCTGTGATTCATCAGTGAGTTCTAAAATGAAGATAAGATAAATACACTCAAAATATACTTGAATACTAAATACGAACTAGATTATCGTATTCGCCACCTCGCTAAATGCGATAAAATCGCAAGGCTGGCGAATAAAGTTGTGTTTTGGTAAAAATATTGAGGAATGATTTTTTCCACTGGAAAGAATAATATATATTTGACTTAATGCTCAAAATTTCGTCAAAAAGAATTTTTCTAAACAAATCAGTATCTTTTATTTGATTATAGTAACATTCGGTTGATGCACTGCATAGCCAATTAAGTTTAGTTCCAAATAATATAAGCTTGAAACAAACTACCGTAAAATATTTTTCCATTTGAAAATAAAAATTATCAGAAAAATTTGTTAAGATTTGCATTTGACGAAGACTTTCGAAAATCGCCGAATACTTTTGATATTTGGCTAATTTATTGGCTAATAATTTCAGATTTAGCACGATTCCTGCATTTATCAATAATATAATCTAGATGCCCGAAATTAGGATGCTTCATGAAGAAATGCTTCAAAGAAATGCTTCATGAAATGCCTAGGAAAGAAATGCTTCATGAAGCTGGAAGAAATTTTAAAAGTTTAAATTCTAATTTCTTTTCAGGAATTCAATTAGTTTATGCCTATACGAAATATTCAACAATGTACCAGCCCCTGGATGATGGGGCTTTATCAAATTTATCTGTAGGAAATTATGAAACTTCGGAGCAAAGCTATAATAAGAGTTCAGTTATCACAGCAGAGCCGCGAAAGTCTTGTAAAAAAGCTCTTGAGCAATAGATTTAGAAGTGATGGCATTAGCTCCTTGATTTGAAGAAGCTGTTGCCTCTCTCTGAAGATTTTTACAAGTCTTTTGGATGGTTCGACAGTGCTCTTTTGCTGCCTTTTCTTTCAAGGTCACCCACTGCATCCACTGAAGCAGGCTGGGTATTCTGCGGTGACCGCAGGTGATTTCATCAAATGGCTTTGTACATGTGTTAGAAAAATGCGCCCCTGCACATTTCATGCAGGTAGGCTCTGGTGAAGAGCAGTTTCTTTGAGTGTGCACAGTTGAATTGGTCTTTTTAACTGATAGATATATTTCCTTTAGGAGCAAATTCAGTAAATTCAGTAGTACATTTCGGTAGATAGGAATTATTGAAATAATTTTTTTTTATTGAGTCTCTCATACTCCTTTTTTTTAATTTTCTTAGTAGTGGTCACCTTGTATAAGCTGCAACAATGAGTTAATTACAATATATTACTTTGAAAGAATTTTTATGAATTATTACTCTTTAGGAATAACATCGGTACACATCAGTTTTAGCTAGTACCAGATTTTTTTATATTTTCCGCCTTGAAGGCACCCTTGTTTCAATATAACATCAAAATCTGACGGGAAAAAATCAGATATTATCCTCTTCGCAAAACCTGGAAAGACAGCCTCCAACTCTGATAAATATAGGCCGATTAGACTCCTCCTAATGCTAAAAAAAATAAATGAAAAGATTATTCAACGCCAACTAAATGGTTACATTCATCAGCTCCCCAATCAACAGTACGGTGTCAGAAAAAATCTGTCAACCACTAAACATTCTCGAATTTATCAGTAAAGCAAAATATGAACATGAAACAGCCCTTATGCTCATGCTCGGCGTTGCCAAGGCTTTTCACCGAGTATGGCATAAGAGACTCATCGTAGCACTCATAACTCGTAGCACTCTCAATAGAACTCATTACTCTTATAAATTCCTGCAGTTCTAATAGAAGGCTCAGAATTAAAATTGATAGTATATTCTCCGATTACATCCCAGACTAAGTGCCACAAGGAAGCATCCTCGTGTCACTACTCTGCATATTATATACAGAAGATTTCCTTATTAATAATAACAATACAAATGAAATCACCGCTATGTATCTAGATAATACTGCTATCATTAGGAAATCGCTTAGCCATTTACAGGCTTTCACCCATATGCAAAAGAAGCTTTATGACATGGAAAAATGGGGTTCACAATGGAAGACTACATTACACCCAGAAAAATGTCAAATGATTATCTTTAATAATAAAAAGAAAGGTAAAATTATTCCAGACATCCTTCGCCACAATCAGAATATAAAAGCTACAAATGACATCTAGGTGTAACTATCACCTCAAATCTAAATTGGAAACAACATATTCATAGCTTTATTAAAAAAAGCGAACGGTGCATATTGGGCCCTAAACTCAATATTTAATTCGATATCATCTCAAGACTTAACGTGCAAACGTACTATTTATTTAATGGCCATTAGGCCAATTTCAATCTATGCATGCCCTGCCATCACCACCCTAAACGATAATTTAAAAAATAAACCTTCAATAGCAGAAGACAAAATCATAGGAAAACTAATAGGCACCCCCAAATGCATCAGCAATAACAGTATAAAAAAGGACCTGAAAATAAATGATAATTTTCATGAAGATGCACAAGATTGCACTACAAGCAACTTTAACTCCCTCCAAAACATAGTCCTAATTGAGGACAATAGTAGATTGAACCCTATTACTGCCTTTTTTCTCAGAAATGTGGCGTTGCCTTAACACACGAAGAACACTCAGTGCTAGCCCAACAACTGCTACACTCTAATTTTCACTACACACACAGTATCACATATCATTACACATAAACCTAGAATGGTTTTGGAACTTGTATATGATAAAAGTTAGAGTGGTGAGCAAACCCAGAAAACCAGTGGTTCTCAACCAGGATGCCTGGGTCACCACCGTAACAGAGCTCATGACTTTAAATATTCTCACTGATCATTTCCCCTTATAGTACATATCCATTTTATTTTAATTTTATTTTATTTCGATTTGTGTTGTAAATATGTATATAATTTATTTTACTTTGACCTTCATTAATTTTGATAGTTCATCTTACTGTACTATGTTAACCTTATCTTGTTTCGCTTATATTCTCGTTTTATGTATATTACAATTAATATTATGTATAATATCAAATATTATGACTGCTCATGTCACCAAACACCCTTGCGTCTTTGGTGTCCCTTTCCCTTCCACCATCTTTCCTCTCCACTTACTCCCCATCATCGATTTTATACTACCGAAGGATCGGTTAATACCTTCTCGTGGCAGCGCAAAAAGATTTATGTTATTTCCAACGTTTTAACGTTGCATCAAAATCTGCATACAATGTTAACGACAGAAACGTGTTGATTTGTGAATTTTAACGACGGCTTTTATGTTCATCAGCTTCATCCTTCTAACAATATTACCACAATATCTTTATTAGATATCTATAAATACTGCAGCTTTAACCTTAGTACCATTTGCACTAAATGCCGTACTTAATTAAGCCTCACCTGCGTAAATACTAGTTATGTAATTTATGAGAGCCACACCAATTTTTAAGTTGAAGCACATTTATTCCTTTAAATTAAACTATTACTTATTTTTATATTTTTTATTAAACAGTTAATGAGTTACCGACTGTGTCACTGGCTTTAATGTTACTGACTTTGCTAATAGATTTTATTGAAGTTAAACTATAATGAAAAACTAGAATAAATATAGAATAACAGATATGATCTAATAATAAGTTAAAGATATTTTGACTATTAAAAAAATGATCAAATATAACGAGCTGTAATGGCTTTATATTCTAAGTATATAACAATTTATTAGAATTACTTCTTGAACAAAATAATAATAAATTCAGGGGACATTACATACCACAAGTTTTCTTGTTAGACTGCAATGTATATCCAGGATAACATTCGCATGCCTCAGTGTCACTGTTGCAGACTTGCTCACATCCTAGTAATCCAGGAACAGAACACTTATTTACTGAAAAAAAAGAGAAAAAATATAAATATTAATAAAATACTTACTAACTTAAACAGTTATCTATGAAAAAAAATTTCAGAATAAGTCATATTTATTGTTAGATATCACATTTGTCAGTAATTCCTAACCTACCTTGCACCACCTTTCCATTAGTATATATACATATATATATATGGGTCTTTCTCACGAAAACTGACATTTTTCAGTTCATAAAATCCCAAAAAAGTAAAGTGAATAAAAAGNATATATATGTATATATATGTATATATATATATACATTTTTAAAGTTTAAAGTAAAAAACGATTACGCATCGCGTCCGCGTATCTTGTTAAGTGACGTCAGTTTAAGGTTGGCTCTCTCACTTATATGGTTACCCAAGTCAAAATTCTTGATGACCCCATCAGATTTTTGATGGTTTATGTTGGTTTCAGTGCGATTCATGATGGTGCAACATCATTTGATGGTCACCATCATCCAACATTTATCATTCTGTGCTCATGGTGTTTGGTATGCCGGCAAACCTCCATCATTCCATGATGGAAAGTGCTACTTTAATACTATGATGCTTAATCATCGAGACAATTTGATACCCATGAGCCAACAATCCATGTTGATCCCTTGATGTTCCATGATAGTTCCAACTATACATTTCCAAGATACTTTAATGGGATTTCTTGTTGGTGCAGCAAGAATATACCCTTAAAACCATTTGTTTTTTTATGTAGGCGAATCATAAATGATGCCGAATTCCCATATGATGGTGATGGGGCTCATTATCGTTCCAACGTTGGATTTCTATTAAACTAAGTTGGAAATTTCTGTTAGTTAAACATGAACAAACAATTAAGTCAAGTCGCTATTCTTTTATTGGAACATTAAAAATATCTCCAAACTCCTACATTGGGGAGATGGTTACGTATGTTTGTTACCATTAAAAATTTAATAGTTCATGATAGATTTATTGATGGCTACCATTGAGGTTATGCTGGTTCATCAATGAAAAACCATCAAAATTTTGACTTGAGTATACTATTTGGTTCATACCCATGTAGGTAAGTAATCCAGCCATTTGTGGAGTGCGTTCAATTATTGGGTATTTAAGTATGAGAAAAAGTGGGGGGGGGAATTAATTCCGCAGAAAGTCACGGTAGCTTGTTAAAGTTTATGAAGAAGGTGTAATGAATGATAGAAATTTTTCGTAAATGTCATAAGCTTTAAAATGAAGGGGAAAAAATGTTTATGACAACGAAAAATCTGGACAACCTATTGTTCTGGACGGGAAGAACTGGATCATCTGCTATACAGCAGTGACTTCACCCTATCAGACTTACATCTGTGTGCAACACTTAAGGAATTTCTCGGCGGAAAGCTCTTTGAAAATGATGAAATGTTGAAGGAACAGTCAGACTGCAAATTTCTTTGATGACGGGATCCAAAAGCTGGCGTCCGACATGTTCATGTTAATGGTGACTATAAGTCAATGTGATTCAATGTTAATGGTGACTATAATAAATAATGAATTATTGTTCATATTTTATTTTTGATTGAATTTACGGTTCATAAATACAGTTTCTTTTATTCCATTATAAAACGGACCTTTATAAAATGAAACTATTATAAAATGACCCTCGTATACTGCCGTGTAATTGAAAAAAATTTAAGTGCTTCAAAATAGAATGTCAAAAAACTGATAAAAAAATTTTTTTCAACTCTTTTTTGGTGTTGCAATATTTAGCCTATCATACGAAGATGCCAATATATACAAAGATGCCAATATATACCAGTATATGCCAAGTTTCATTTATTGCGCATAAGCTGCAAGTAAACAGAACTGATTAGATAAGTTCAAAATGAAGATAAATCAAAGTCAAATTATAGACAAATGAAAAAAGAGGGCAAATAAAAATTAAATTTTATTTAAAAAAACCGGAAAAAAAGATATAATCTTTTCATCAGCGCACACGATTATATCCGTAAAAATGAGTGCTTTCTGATATTGTATAAATATGGCCAATGCAAAATATATTAATACAATAGTGTGAGGAGCACTCAGAAAAAGTTTTACAAACATTACAACAAATAAAATAGAGCACAATAAGTACAAATAACACGTAAAAACAGAAAATAAAAAGAAAAAACAATATAAAACATGGACTATAAAGCGAGTAGCGAAATCAGATGTACTTACATGAACGGGAAAGTTTTCAAGAATGATTTAAAAATGTTTTCGCAACAAGATAGCCAGATTACAAAATATGAAAATAAAAGCGCAAATTGAGTGTAACTAGAGGGCTATAAAATGCCATTCTTACTGCACTGCTGAAGTGATTTGTTATTCTCTGCATTGATTTGTTAATTACCAAGTATGGGCCCGAAATGGATGTACGCAATGTAATATTATACTGGATAATTTAAAAAAGTTGACCATAAATAGTTTTAGAAAATAGATGTTTATTTAAGAAAAAATATAAAATAGAAAAGAGAAACATAAATTGCGTGTTTCGCAAATAATTTTAGCTACGGATTTGCCCGAAATGGATTTGCACATAGAAAAGTTATATAAATTATCAAAGAAAAAATTTTACTGGATAATTTTTACACGGATTTGCCCGAAATGGATTTGCACATGGAAAAATTATAAAAATTAACAGAGGAAATTTTTTAGCAAAGGAATTTTTAGTTAGTAATTTTGACCACGGATTTGCCCAAAATGAATTTGCACATGGAAAAATTATGCAATTTAACAAAGAAATTATTTAGTAAATAATTTTGGCAACGGATTTACCCGAAATGGATTTGCAAATGGGAAAATTGTATAAATTAGCAGAGAAAATGTTTAGTAAATATATCCACAAAAATGTATGATTAATTCAGTGATTTTATATNAATATATATATATATATATATATATTTATGTTGGCTTCAGTGCGATTCAGGATGGTCCAACATCATTTGATGGTCTCCATCTTCCAACTTTTTTCCTGCTGTGCTCATGGTGTTTGGCATGCCAGAAAACTTCCATCATTCCATGATGGAAAATGCTACTTTAATACTATAATGGTGAATCACCAAGAGAATTTGGTATCCATGAACCAACAATCCATGTTGATCCGTGATGCTCCATGATGGTTCCAACTGTACATTTTCAGGATGGTTTAATGGGAATTCTTGTTGGTTCAGCAGGAATATACCCACAAAACCATTTTTTTTATAACGCTGGCGAATCATAAATGATACCGAATTCCCATATGATGGTGATGGGGGCTCATGATCATTCGAACATTGGATTTCTAATAAACTATGATGGAAATTTCTGTTAGTTAGGCATGAACAAACCATCAAACCAAGTTGCTATTCTTTTATTGGACCATCGAAAATAAGTCCAAATTCCTACATTAGGGAGATGGTTACGTATGTTTGTTGCCATTAAAAATTTAATAGTTCATGATGGATTAATTGATGGTTACCATCCCGATTATGTGGGTTCATCAATGAAAAACCATCAAAATTTTGACTTGAGTATACTATTTGGTTCCTCGCCATGTCAGTAAATAATCCAGCCGATTGTGGAGTGCGTTCCATTAGCTTATGGCGAAGGTGTAATGAATGATGGAAATGTTCGTAAATAGCATACGCTTTTAAATGAAGGAAAAGGAAAAAAAACAAATGTTTATGACAATGAAAGATCTGGGCAACCTATTATTCTGAACGGGAAGAACTGGGTCATCTGCTATTCATTCCTGACTAAGCACTATCAGACTTACATCTGTGTGCAACACTTAAGGAATTTCTCGGCGGAAAGCTCTTTGAAAATGATGAAATGTTGAAGGAAACTGTTACTAACTGTTTTAACGGTCAGACTGCAAATTTCTTTGATGACGGGAACCAAAAGCTGGCGTCCGACTTGACTAATGATTCAATGATAATGGTGACTATGTTAAATAATGAATAAATGTAATTGTAAAAAATAGTTAAGTTCTTCAGTATAGAATGTCAAAAAACTGATAAAAAATTCCTTTTTTCATCACTTTTTTGTTGTTGCAATATTTAGCTTATCATACGAAGATGCCATATATATAAAAATCTTAATTTTGAATTATTTGTAGCTAACATTAATTCTTCTGTTGCAATGCAATATACGATAATATATATATACACATTGGTATCTATATATTACTGGTATCATTTCTTCAGTTTAAGAATTCCAATTTTATTCATACATTACCTTTTTGGCATGTTTTGCCATCAAATGTAAAACCTTGTTTGCAGATGCAATTCACTCGCCCGGGTTCATCTAAAACATCTTCACAAATTTCATTCTCTCCACAAGGGTTAAGATTTGATGGACAGAAGTCAGCTGTAACAATTTAAGTATAATTTACTTTTTAATCTGTTAAAAATATTGTGGTATTGATTTTTTTTTTCTTGAGGGCTTTTTTCTTTCCTAGATAAAGGTTGAAATAATATTTTTTTAAAATTGTATAGCTTTTTTTTTCTTGGAAAAGTGAGCTAGGAGATTACGAAGATAGTTATGAAGTTAATGTGTGTGAATAATTAAGAAAATTATTTTTTTTATTATGACAGAAAATCAAAATCAATAAAAAATTATATTTAGAGTACCCAGGATAGGAGGATGCTTCATGTAATAAATTTCGACAACACATATTGAAAATAAAAATGTAGTAAATAATGCAGTAAATGTAAAAAAAATTGTAGATAATGTAAAGTGGGTATTAATTTTTTATTTCGTAAAACATTAGTGTAGAGATGGAGTTGCTAAATAAAAGGCATGAAATAAACATTTTAAGTGCAAAAATAAATTTTAAATAATGATATGTATAAGAACAGGCCGTAAATCCTCCGTCTCTTGCCTGATTGTTGCAATGTTTTGAAACATTGTAATAATTTGTAAACATTGTTACAATGTTTTGAAACATCGGGTAAAATAACCACAATTTGTCACAAAGACACTGAAATTTCAGCTAACGTACTGAAAATGTTACAATGTTTTGTAACATGATATAAAATGAGCAACATTAACAACCAATTTCAGCTCAACATGGTGTAAAGTAACATAATTTTATCTCTAAAGCACTGAACTTTCAGCAAATACCTAGAGTATTAGTCTCCATGGGAACGGAGGACTGCCCACCCAATCGGAAGAAGAACACCCATGATTGTTGCTCCGACTGCCCACGTCGACAAGGAATCAAGGATCCACTGCAGTTAAGCTGCGTTATTTGTGCTATCCTTTTCTTTCCCAGCTGGAAACACCCCTGTATCTCAAAAGTGGTGATTGAATTAGGCTGCCATTTGAAGTTGGTTCTCCATCGAGCAAGGGGTCTTCGGCCCCCTTGCTAAGAATTTTTCTGGTATGGATTGAGAGTGTGTGCGAATTTTTTTCAGATCTTAGAGTGACGATCTTGGATCCTGTTGGATCTATTTCTGTATTTTATTTACCTCCTCCTTAGGAAGGTTTTATTTCATTAAATTATGAGAAGAATTTAATTTTAATTGTATATTTTTGATAATTTTACCTTGTTAATAAGAAGTAACGTGTGCCAGATTAATGTGACATTGTTATTAAAGAATAAATGTTGTAAGTATATTTGTGTTTCAGTCTCCTTTAACATTGTCTTAATGTTTCTATTTTTTTCCCTTTCAATCAGATATCTTTATTCAAAAAATATTTTTTTTTATTCTAGAGAATTTGATCAATGTGTTGTGCTAATGCCTATTCGATATGTACTTTAGTAATTCTTATTTCTCACGTGTTGTGGTAATATTACTTAATCTTATTATTAATAACATGAGCATTCTATCACGATTTCTAGCTTTAATGCAGTAATTAATGGTTTTTTTGCCACCAAGTGCAGTAATATAATTTTAAATTACAGATCTAATTTAAGGTACCATGTGATTCAGCACTGATTATTATCTCTACTATTTTAAATATAACCACGGCAGTTATTAAATTCAAATATTTAACAACCACTATTATATTATTATCAATTATTAATGCACCATGTAAAAAATATATTATATTAAATTTCTTATGTTAAGTATAAAAGATACTATATCAAAGTTAGTACTGAATAAATTAAAAAATAAGAAACAAATATTCAACGGGTGGTTTAAAAATACAGAAAGAGATCTTTTATGTGGGCTATATCGAAAATGAACAGTGTCAGAATTTAAGCCAATTCCTCGATACCTACACTTTAAAAAACTCGGTAAATCTCTGACCAGTATTTGGGGCAAAGTTTATCTTCATCCAAAAGTTTAGTTACTCATTATCCAAAGTTTCTCACTATCCAAAAGTCTGTAAACTGAACGATATTTGCTTACGACGCCATGTTTTTGTTACATTTCGGTCTCGATGTATCAGGATGACTAAATTGTGTTGTTTTAAGTATCAATTTATTTAGACAAGTAAATGTTTTATTGTATTAATTAAAGTTTATTTCTTTCATGATGCCTTTTTAAATTTGGTTGGTGGTATAAAATGGTTAGAGGTAGGTCATAAAATAACCTAAAATAAACCGTTCTATTTCGATAAATAGCAACCTTGGACTGCATTTGAGCTCTTTAAAAATACCTAATAATGGTGCAACCTTCCTCTGCTGCCCTCCTCCTTAGAAAAAAGGAAGAATGAAAATATGTATTGATTTCTGCCAAAACACCTGGCTTTGGTGCAACCTTCTATTGATGTTTAAAGCTTGTGAAAATACCAAATTAGGCAGCATTTTTTATTGCCATCAAATGAATACCAATATTTGGTAAAACGTGGCTCGGAATTTTTAACAGTGTATTGTTAATAACTCAATATTTTGGCTAGAGATTAAATTTCAAAATACTCGTTGAAACTAATGCAAAACTAATAAAGTTTATGCTAATATTTAATGTGGTAGAAGAGCGAAAGATTAAAAATAGATATTTATACTCAGTTGCCTTGAATAATAGTTAGTTGTAATAATTGCTGCTATAATTAGTTCTAATAAAAGTGGACATTGAAAAATAATTGCTGCATTTATATAAAAAGTTAACAGTTTCACTTATAGGAAAATGAAAAGAATAAAAATGTTTGCATTTACTCTTTATAAAATTGAATCAACATTGATTAAGTGATTTATTTTAAAGAGAATTGGGAATGATTTAATAAAATAAAAATTTATAAAATTGAAAAAAAAATTATAAAATTAAAAAAGAGCTTAAAATTGTATAATGACATAACAGAAACAGCATTTCTTCCGAATGAGTTAAAATACATTAAGCATGGAAAATTTATTTTATATTTACATTAAAACTGAACTTTTAACACTTCAGCTGATATGGCCTAAGAATCGGAAAGCTTTGTGGTCGAAAGTTCAAAAGAAACTTTAAGTTTAGTAAATGAGTCTTAAACAAGGATCCCACATTAGAGGGTTTAAAAATCCAGTTAGGACTGAAAATTCGCAACCACGAAGTAAGAGTTTTGATCCAAGGAAATGGATGAAAACAGATTTTTAATTATTGAAAACAATATAAACAATAAATTCAATATAAGAAACTACTAAAAAAAGTGCACATAAAAATAAAATATCTTCAGGCCTTCAAATTTTGTTGTTTTTAGGAAATTTTCCATCTAAGCATAGAATCTTCCAAATCGTACTCACGAATACAATCTTGTTTATCATTTCTCCTGAAATTCTCAATGCATACACAAGCCCCCATTTTGCATTCTTCAAAAGGCTTTGTGCATTTGATGTCCATAAATGGGCAGTTATCAATATCTGGAATAAAATTCAGAAGAATAAAATGAAAAACACGGTACTCAAAATTTGTTTTTGTATAATCCGGCATTTTTATTTCGATGGTCTCTTATTTTTCTTACGTGAATGTTTATTGGTCAATTAGAAATTTCAAAGAAATTTGTTCCATTAAATATCTAGGTGAGTTCAATAGTTAAAATATATGAATGTGATAAAAAGAAAAAATTAGAAACTATAATATTTCTGAGAAGATAGATAGATATAGATATCGATACTATGAGCATAGAAAGTTACCAGGATGCTTAAAAATATATTATACACTAGAAATAATTTTTATATCAAAATAAAATATAGAAATATATTATAAAAAAGGACTTTAACTGTAAAAAAATAAGTTATTTTAAATTCTATTATATATATTTCATGTAAAACTGTGCACAGTCAAACATATGTTAGCTAAATGAATTCTCAAATATTAAGAATGAATTTTTCGTACCTTTGCTAAATGATCTCTTCAGCAAAAAACATGCAACGCATTTTTAAGGGAACCGATAATTTAAAAAATTAAGTTTTTGTATTATGTTGCAATTATAACCGAGCAAAATGATTAGGTTTAAAATTCATCATAATGTAATCATGAACTAAATCTCGGTCACTAAAATCAACCCTTTGTAATCAAATGCCTTTAAAACGGTTAAAAAAAGCTATCACTAAAAGTTTACAAGACAAAACTCATTCGTTCCACTCATGTTGTAGAATATCTTGAGGCTATTATGTTGAAAAAAACAATAAAATTATTAGGTGCCTAAGGAAGCTAGTAGCCCCTTACCACCAGCTCCTACATCAGAAAACCTCCACACGGTTTTTATAAGTAGCCTGAGTAAAAGCTTAAAAAGTGAACCAGTTCTGCGCATGAACCCAAATTATGTTTTAAAAGTAATTGAGAGAAAATTATCACATTACTAACTAATCAAGTTTTTCAGAGTACCTATTGGAGGAAGGGCAGAGATGCCAAATGCTCCGGACACGCCAAAATAATTAAGAAAACGGTAAATAACTACAAGCAAATTTTGAAAATATTGGAATATTTTTGCTTGCTTTTTAAAGGGTCCATCATGGCTTGAGTACAATTAAGCGGTGAATTGTATAAGCCAACGAATTATTTAGAAATAGTGGTGGTTAAAAATCAACTAAATTGAATTTATTAAACCAGGAATCATAATAGATAAACTACCACTTTAAAATATATATTTGCTGTCCGGAGCAAGTTGGCATCTCTGGAAGGGATGTGCTGCGTTAACAATAAGTTATATCTCAGAATGAACAATAATTGAAAATCAAAAAATCAAGTCTGGGTTATACATAAAAATAAATCGCAAGTTGATACACAATAAAGGGAACAAATTGAAGATAAAGAAAAATTATTTACACTATTTACAGAATAAATTATCACATCAGACCAACCATCTACTACGCATTTTGCAAAATATTTTATAGAGCGGTAGACCTTTCAAAACCAAAACTTTCAAAGGTTTTGGCAATTTTGCCTACATTTTAAATGCCTTACCATGAAAGAAGTTGAACAAAGTGGTCTTGCTAATGAACGTTTAAGTCATTTAAATGTAGTGGTGCGGAAAATGAATTTAAATGAATGGAAATAATAGAATAAATATAAACATAGAATAAATTACTATAATAAATTCACACACTAGAATACATTTTTACAAAAAACGTAGAAAGTCAGCAGCCTGTATATTTGGGAGTTGAATATACCCAAATCAATCATATTTATTTAATTAAACAAAATTTTAGACATATATTTGTTACCACTTTCTTATTATTACTAGATTTCGAAATAAATGGCTCTTTCGTAAACTGGTTAACCTTAATAGTGGTCTGATCGGACTACCTCTTGATATTTTCAGTTATCGGATACATAGTCCTTAACCATTCAACCTGATCTTGATCTATGTAACGGTTCGATGAGATGAGTATTATGTTCAGTGGCCACTAAACGGGTAATAAAATTAATGATTACTAAGGGTAGGTAATTAACTGGTGACAGTGGCCTTTCAAGCGCAAAGGATAAAATAAAAACAATCTTTTAGGCGAGGAATATTTGATTTTTAAAGTCTTGGATCTTAGTTAAAAATGATTGCAGTCTTGTGTGTTTTTTGTAAGATTACTTCGTTATTTTAACGTGTTGGATTCTTGAACTTTATATATCTTATAAAAATATGCCAACTTGCTCCGGACTACGGATCAATGGATTCCAGCGGTAGACTTTTGATGTATGATTCTTGGTTTAATAATTTCAATTTATAGGGTTTTTATACTTCTTAATAATTCAAAGGCTTATGTGATATGCCACTTTGTATCAGTCAAGCCCGCAGCAACCACATTGCCTTCTAATCTCAACGAAGCCAAACAAAATGACAAATACTACACGATGAATGACACGATGAATACTACAGGCACCCATATCCAAAAGTAAGACATTCGGACTTCTCTCTTTGGTACTTGTATATTATTTAAATTTTTAATCGGACACTTTTCTTTGTATATATTATTCGTTTAATAGTTTACTTATATTTCTCGATTTCACATCTACGTTGCATATTGGCAAATAGTTTCGTTGAAGGGGCGAGTGCCACAAGGCAAGAACCTCGCTAATATTACTATTGTATTAAAATATTTTACAGTCCGTGTTGATTCTTTTAAAAATCTGCAAAACTAACCAAATTTTGCAGATTTTAGTTTCTGGTTTTCGACAGTTTTTAAAATATTTTGTCGATTTCGGAGCAGTTGCCGTCTGTGAATATACGTTTCTTTGAACAAAATTTTTGTTTCCTCCATAACGGATATCATTTAAAAAAAAAAAGAGAACTAAATGTATTTTTAACTCAAAAACTGCAATAATAAACCAAGTTAAATGTTGTTGGGATTGTTAACAGATCCTTACATTCACATTGCTTCTTTAAAAAATTGTAATATTGGTCTTTGGCGCAGTCACAATATCCGATTCTTGTTTTGAAATCAAATCGGCATTTTCCTGCTGGGCACTCAGATTTCCCAAATCCTTTGGAGCACCAGTAACTACCTCCGCAGTCTGGTCCACCAAATGGATAGTTGCAAATGCATCTTTCCTTTCCTTCCTCCTCCAGACAGACTCCAAAATGTTTGCAGTAGTTTTTCTTACATAGTTTGTACTCTGAAACGATGCAGAATTAATTATTTGAACAATTTTGTTATTAATGTCACTTGCAGATACAAGAAAGCCTGCTATGAGAATCCATAGCAATTTTAAGACAGTGGGTGCGTTTCTTGTGTTTCAGTGGTAACATCTATGGCCTATAATTCGACTTTAGCCACACACAAGTCACAGCCTGTTTTACCGGGAGAACAAATTCATACTCCATTCATTCATCCACAGATTGTTATTTTGACTTGATTTAGAGAATGATCAATCTCCAATTCAGTATATCCAGAGGAATTGATTTGTTATAGGAGCATGGAGGAATTTATGACCCCTACTGAATTAACGTGCACCGGTCACCGTTTAATACACAGGGATTCTTCGACCGACGATCTCATGAATACGAGATCAGCGTCCTTCCAACCTGGATATCCCGGCCCATACTTGTGTTTTATATTGCACAATAATTGCTGTTAATGTCTTTTATTGTTTTGTAATTAATATATAATTGATATATATATATATA